CCTTTCTGCTACCTTTCATCTGTAACATAAACCCTAGGGTTCACAGCCATTTAAATTATTAAAGGTCTTCCCTGAGCATCGTTTTCTCCAGACTAAACAGCCTCAGCCTCAGCTCCTTCAGCTGCTCCTCATAAGACTTGTGTTCCAGATTCTTCACCAACTTTGTTGCCCTTCTCTGGACGCACTCCAGTTAACTCGATGTCTTTTCTCTAGTGAGGACCAAAGTAAAGGCCAAAAGGAGAACTGGATTCTCATTGTAGGAGTGGGATCATTGGGACTAAGGTTAAGGAGCAGAGTTAGGTATGAACATTTCCTACAAAGAAAGGGTAGGAAAATTTTCTTTAGGCATTCTGCCCTCAGCAAGAGTGGCAAAGGTTATAATTCCTTCATTAACTTGTAATCTGCTGTGTTTGGGTTTATTTTCCTTCTTTGTGAATTGTCGGTTACTTATTCAGAGCTGACAGCTTTGACAAACATTGCTTCCTGTGTGCACTCTTCAAGATATATTGTGCACATTTTTATTCTCCTCAGATTTCCAAAGCATGATTTGAGGGAATTCATTTTCAAAGCTCAGTTTCGACAATATTTTTCAAAATGGCTGGCACAGCTTTGATTTATGATTTCCATCATAACACCTATAGTAAAACAATCTGTTCTTGTTTAAAAACATTCAATTCTTTTGCTTTTATTTTGGCTTTCAGCAAGTTATGTAAACTGCAGCAGTTTCACCACCTGCTACCTACACCAGATGCATTTATGTTAACATTTTAGTTCGGATCAGGAGTGGAATTTTAAAGCAAATCTCCTGTCTACGCCCCACTTGCCAAGCTTTGATTCACAAGGTAGAGTTGTCTCACAGTGTGTGACATGGGTCCATTTTAACTGGTACTAAACAGGAGATGTACTGCAGGAGAGTACCTTTTACCCTTCAGCAGCTGATGGGCATTCAGCCCATGGGACCAGACAGAGCTAGTCTGAGGTAAAAACCTTCTGAAAAACATATGGTATGGACATCTGGTCCTCAACCTCAACTGTTTCGCTCTATAAATCTACTCATATTGTTCAGCACTATTTGCTAATATAGACACAACCAGTATCGGCTCCAACACTTGCAGAATTCATACTTAAATATATATTTTGCAGCTCAAATGTAATTTGGATTATCATTACCAGACTCCAGTTCTCCATTCCTTCTCAGACTCCATTCCTTATGATATTCCCCATAATGTGTTCCTGTACCAGACCAGAGCCTGCCATTGATTCCCTGTACATTTTAATCCATAGTTTTTTATCCATGCTACGGCATCACACTGTCTTCTGTGTTGAGCAAAGATTCCTATTGTTATCACTAGCTTCATGCTAGGAATTTATTTATTACACATTGAGCCACAGGTAATAACTATCAAGTTGAAGAACTTAAGTTCTACATACAAAACCACAAAATACAAAACTAGGAAGGAGATTATAGTTTCTCTAATTTTAATTTATTTGTTTTTATTGAACTTGATAGTGGAAAGTAGGGAACGTAAAGATTAGTAGGGAAGATAGTAGGGAATTTAAAGAGAAGATGCAAAAATGGCATAATGGCATTCAACAAAAGAAGCATGGAAGAAAGTACCCAAAAGCACACTAGCAGGAGAGAGAAAAGAGTAGTGTTTTCAGTCAGTTCTAATGTCAGTGGTGGAAAGAGCAGAATAAGGGAAATGCATGTTGGAAAACAATTTGTGATGATGTTCTGAAGGAGAGACTGCAGGTGGGCAATGGGATTGGGTATGTCAGTGGAAAGAGAATGGAGATTTCCACTGCCTTGGGGCAGCAGCAGGAGTCTTGAGAAGTCTTCAGCTGTGGCAAAAGGAGCAAAAGAAATAGAGCATGGAGCAGGGACTGCAGCCTAACTCCAGGGGATGGCCATTGGCAGCCAGCTTGGCACAAATTGGCAGAAACTTGCCAGGCAGGGCTCTAAAGACTTTGCTGCAACTTGGAAAGTCACTGAGCTGTCTGAAAGCAGACCTGGTGTAGTGGGTTTCCATGGCTGGGTTTTGTTGGGGGGGGCCCTACAGGGATGGCTTCTGTTAGAAACTGATAGAAGCTTCCCCTGTTCCATGGAGCCAAAGCCAGCTGGCTCCAGGATAGACTTCCTGCCACTGGCCAAGGCCAGGACAATCAGGAGTGATAGTAACACCTCTCTGATAACATATTTAAGAACAGAAGGTTGTTGCGCAGAAAAAATTCCAGCCAGGGAAGAGCGGAGTGAGAACAGGGGAATAACAACGTAGACACCAAGGTCAGTGTAGAAGGAGGGGCAGGAGGTGCTCCAGGTGCCAGAGCTGTGGCCGCTGCAGCTCGTGGTGCAGACCATGGTGGAGCAACTTGTCCCCCAGCGGCCCATGGAGGACCATCGGGGTACAGAGATCCACCTGCAGCCCATGGAGGAGCCCATGCTGGAGCAGGTGGATGCATGAAGGGGAGGCTGTGACCCTGTGGGAGACCCAGGATGGAGTGGAGTTGTGCTGGAGAGCTGCAGCCTATGGAGAGGGAAGCCCACGCTGGAGCAGGTTTTTCCTGGGTAGGACTTGTGGCCCCTGTGGGGGACCCACGCCGGTACAGGTCATTCATGAAGGACTGCACCCCATGGAGGAGTGACCCACAGGACAGCAGTTTGGGAAGAACTGCTGCCCGAGGGATGGACTCACATCTGAGAGGTCCATCAAGGACTGTCTCCCGTGGGAGGGACCCCACAGGAGCAGGGGAAGGACTCCTCTCCCTGAGAAGCAGCAGAAACAACAACTGACCGTAATCCCCATTCCCCATCCCCCTGCACCGCTGGGGGGAGGAGGGAGAACATGGAAGGAAGGAGGGGTGGGGGGAAGGTGTTTTTAAGACTGTTTTATTTCTCACTCTTTGGCTCTTATCCTGTTATTAATAAATATAAGTACTATCCCAACTTTGAGTCTTGTTTTGCCCATGAAGGTGATCAGTCACTGACCTCTCTCAGCTCTTAGCTCTACTCATGAATTCTTAGCTGTTTTTTTTTCTCTCTCCTCTGTCGAGTTGCAGAGGGAGAGTGAGAGAGCGGCTTTAGTGAATACCTGGTATCTGGCCAGGGTCAACCCACTACACCTGGTAAGAAGAGCCTGTCTGCAGGGATGCATGGGGCAAGCTAAGAATTGTTATTGCTGTCCTTTTTGACCCTGTTCGGAAGCTTAACTATTCTAGTTTATATTTACATAAAATTGGCTTGCTTGGTTTTAAAAGCCTTCAATATTTTTTAGAAAATTCACTATAGAAGACCTGAGTAGATTCATCTTCAAGTATTGGTTGACTTGAGCTCAGAATTTCTTAAGGGAAGCTTTAGCGAGAGGTGAAATATTAACCACTCTTTTCTTATCAAAGTACATTAGAAATCAGAATACTGCATTATTTTCCCAGGTGATAAATTATAACTAACAGGTAATGTGCAGGACAAGTGTGACTTGAGGAGGAGCTGCAAGCTTACTCCGTGTGCCATTCCCAATGTGCTTGCTTGGTACAGGGCGCTAATGCCTGCCTGCAGGATATTCACATTCATAACCCTGTAACTTGAACTCACTTTGGATTGCTTGCCTGTTGTGCCTAACAGTTTCTTCTGATGCTGTTTGCAAGAAGTAGATGTGTTTGTCTGCCATCTGACCTGCAGTAATTCTGATGCAACAAGGTGATCCTGGTAACTAGCTTGACTTGTACTTGTTGAATAATTTAGCTCAGGTTTGTTTCTGGGTAGCTGGCTATCCAGATTAGGCATCTTATATTACTGCCTATTGTCATGGTGACAGAACTGGCTGCTCTCTTCTCCCCTCTCTGCATTTTCTGATTGCAATATGAGGGCTGTCCTTGCTTGGGGTACAATATAGCAAATCTTCGCTGACAAACTTGGATGTGGCACAGTGGCCTGTATATGAGTGTTGTTTTGTTTCAACATATGTAATAGAATTCAAATATATGCACTGGATGCACTAATATTAGCTCTTAACTACTAGCAAGTGGGAAGCTAACTGAAGTAATTACGTTTTCTTAGGTCTGTGCAGTTAACTCTTGGTTTTAATTAGCCTGTTGAAGTGTTACCAGAATTCCTTGTCAGGAAAAATATCTATATGTTTGCAAACACATAAACATACACAAAATACCGTCTTATTTATATTAGGATGTTATGTAAACAAAAGATTGGTCAGAGCAGCTGCTAACGCATCATACTGCTTAGTGGAGTACTTGTGCATTTCTTATGAAAAATAATCAAATCTTTGTTGAAGGACGTGATGCCTGTGTCCATATTGTCTGTGTTTGACCTGGTCTCAGTGAAGTGCTGTGCAGCCCCTGTGCCCTGGAGAAGGGGTCTTGCTGCAGTGCAGGACCTCCCAGCTGCTCTGCCCAGCAGCAGCAAAGGGAGAAGGGTGGTTGGAGTAAAAGCACACAGACCTCCCTGGGCAAAGCCAGGCGTACAGCCAGGCTCTCCAGACACAACATTGCTAATCTGTTTTCTTTTTCAGGGTAAAATCGCTTTACCTTTTCTCCTCTGTGTAAGGAAATTTTTTAAACATCTTGCTGGAGAGCTGACTTCATTTGGCAGAATGAACATTAATGACATTGGCATGATTAAAAGTTATTTGGACAGGACAGTTTTGCAGCAGTTCCCAAGTTTTTTTGAATGCTGATTTCTTTCACCTAGAAAGTTGGGTTTTCTTAATTTATGCATATTGTGTGTGAGGGTTTTGATGTTGGTTTATATTTTCCTTAGAGATTCATAGGAATGCTTGTATGATGTCTAAAGTGGTCAAAGTGTGACTAACTGTCGAAGGTAGGATGCAATGGTAGGTGTGCTAAATATTGCTACAGACAAAGTCTAAAAGAAGGGCAAGTACTCTGATCTCAGATTGCAAATTGTGTTTTAACTTTACCACAGTAAAAAATATATGGATACCACTTTGAGTTTTAAATGTATTTACCTAAAATGTTTTGATTTCTAGGAACTTTGAACCAAAAGAACTGGGGCAAGAAATATTCAACCTGTAATGGTGCCAAACAATCGCCTATTAATATAGATGAAGATCTTACCCAAGTAAATGTGAATCTGAAGAAACTTAAATTCCATGGATGGGAAAAGGAAACTCTGGAAGATACTTTCATTCGCAACACTGGCAAAACAGGTAAAAAGACAAATTTCCTGTTTGGAGCTAAATGAGGTCAGAAAAGTGGACAGATGGACAACTAACCAAAGACTTGTAATGGATCATTTTCATTTCACTCTTCCTTAGCTGATGCATTCTGAACTTACCTATTAAATAAACAAACAAACAAACAAATAAATAAATAAATAAATAAGAACAGTGATGATAATAGTTAAACATAACAGAAAAATCACACAAATAAAAATTATGTGCATGGACAGATATAGCCAAAACAATCACATCGTTACTCTCATCCCCTCATGGGCACTTCATAGAAGCTAAACAGTAATTTGACATTTGCTATGAAATAATGATAATTATTACTACATATGTAGACTAATGAATATGCAAAAATTATTTTTTAAAAGTATGAATAAATTACCTACCCATCTGAAAGCACTTCATGGATGAGTGGAGGTTTCAAAAAACTCAGGATGGGATTCATCTCACTTACACATGGACACATACAATGTAGAAACTTGCATCTGAATTACTCTTGTAGACTTCTAACAGTCACGGAAGAGAATTAGGTGCTTTTATGGTCTGATTTGTCTTACCAATTTTAGAATTGTATTTTAGAAAAAAAGTGATTTATAACTACAAGTTCCTATTTCTCCCAACCATAAAAGAAGCTTATGGTGGTATTTAAATTGTCAGACAAATCTTTTTGCAACCCCTTATAAATTCAGGATAGCAGTAACTAAAAGCTGCTTGTTAGAAATACTGTTTCTGGTTTTGGGCATAAGTGTAGAGCAAGGAATCTCCAGACAATGTTCTTTGCCTTCTACCAGTTCCAGTAAGACCCCTAGACCAGCCTGTTTAGTTTAGTTTAGTTTAGTGCAGTTTAGTTTAGTGCAGTTTAATGCAGTTTAGTTTAGATCGTTGTTCCTAATTTCTGTTCTTGGCCCCGTCTTGTTTTTCCTACATACTACTCAGAAATCACTTACTTCCCTCTTACCCTACTAGCTGAGATAAATAGTGCATTTGTCTTTTCAAGATGCCCCTGAGAAAACATTCTTTAAAGTCCTTGAAAGTGAACTGAGCTCTTCCTCATCTACAGAAATTCAGATATTATACAAGGAACTGCTAAGCTCGCTAAAATTGTCTTCAAGGTTTTGAGGAAAGTAATGTAATGAAACTGAACTCTATTAGTGGTCTTTTCAGCAAGAGGTGAAGCAATTCTCAATAGCTGAGGATGGGAAAGCCAAAATGTATGGCTTCAGTCTACTCCATGCTGCTCATTCTCTCCAGAAGACAAATGCTTAGACTCATCTACAGTTTGTGTGCAACTATGTCCAGCTGAAGACCTGTTATTGTGTTTTCCTGTGGGAGACAGCTCCACAGCTAAGGGGTCTCACAGTCGGGACAGTCCTCCTAAGAACTGGCTAAAATTTTCTTTTCCCATGTTGCTTCATGATTTGTATAGAGAATTGCGGTAAAAATGGCGTGCAGTTGTGTATTTTCCCTTTTGTTAAAAAAAACGGGTGCTTTCAGGAAGTTATGTGTTGGGGAATTTACTGTCTTAGACAACCAGCATGGTGGTTGTCAGTTGTCTGAGCTTTTTAATGTAGTTCTGTGTCTAGTTTCAGTTAATAGGAGACCAAGTGCACTTCATTAAATGATTATTTTATGAATTTCAGCATGAAATGAAACATTTTCTCCATGATAAGAGTGAATTACCACACTTCTTACTTAGTTTAAATAACCAATTTCCTGTCAAATTACTTATGAAATACAGAGAAATATGTGTATCATATTACCTTCTAGCACCTAATACTGAAATATGAGAGTTATAGCTGCCTTGGCTGGTGTTTACCTTGACACTCCTTATTTTCTCTCTTTCTCAATTTGTTCAGTGGAAATTAATCTGACAAGTGATTATTATGTAAGTGGAGGTGGGTTAGACACCATATTCAAAGCAAGCAAGATCACTTTTCACTGGGGAAAATGCAACGCATCATCAGATGGATCAGAACATAGTTTAGAAGGACAAAAATTTCCTCTTGAGGTAAAGTACAGAATTGATTTTGATTATTTCGATGATTTGACAATCTGAAAAATTAATATTCTTTACTAAATACCTTTGTTTATCTCTTGATTTAAGTCTATTTGCAAATATAATCATTCACTTAAATCCAAATTAATAATATCTAAATTATGCATTTTAGAAGGGCAGTGTAAAGTGTTAGTCCATGGCATGTTGGGAATGTCTAAACTTTATTTTCACACATCTTTTAAGATGATATGAGATGTCAGTTCTGCTAATCTGACGAAGTTCAAGTTCCCACTAACAGTTAAGCTCGTATGAGTTTGACCCATCATATTCCACATCAGTTCATTGTTTATAGTGTAAATGGACTTCTCAAAGCTAGGACTTTGCTGAGAGCCCATCGGAGCTGCTAGACCTCACAGAGACAAAGCACGGCCCATGTCACTGGGCAGGAAAGAGCTGGTAGTGGTGTGCCAAGAGCCATGTGAGAGCAGGTCCTGGGTGCAGCCACATTCACAGGCAGCCAGGCCAGCATACCCCTGGCTGGTTTGGCAGAATAGTTTGCAGCAGCATGGGGACGGAGCAGCTCTCGCTGAGATACACAAAGGCACTCTGCAGGCCAGACTTTCTACCCTCAACATGACATCGTGGTCATCTTCCAGTTAAAAAGATGTAGTTGTGACAAGCAACTGTGCTGCTCCTCATTCCAAGTACTTTGGGCTTCTATGTGAGAGCGAAGCAATAGCGCCAAGATTGACGTATACACAGGGGAGAGCTGTGAGCCAGGAGCTTTCCCTGGGCAGTGTCGTTTCCTTCACCTCATTAGCCATTCGGAAATACCCACTCATGCTCCACCTGTCCTGCCATTGAAGAGAATATTCTCTTCCATCATCATCTCCTAGAAAGCTGGTCAGAACAGAACACTGCCCATTTATGTTGGTGGCCCAGTGCTGGAGATTTCCCAGCTGCAGTCAGATGTGGGCACAGTGTCCAGTAATCTTACATTACCAATGCTTCTCTACACTTACTGCAAGGCAGATGCAGTAGGCACATCTTGAAGTATTATTCATGTTTTATCACTCACTTCAAGATTCATCTCGCCTGCGTCCTCTAGATCATGTGTCCAGAAGAGGAGAACTCCTGCGTTCTTAGTAGTTTTCCAGGAGAGGTTGTTTTTAGATAGCCAGTTGCTGATGAATTCCATTCCTTATCTTCAGATAATGCATGTAAGATAAATTAAAAAAATCTATATATTTGTATTGAAATTTTTTGTTTGGATTTTTTTTTCTCCAAATGGTAGTATAAGTAACTGCATTTTTAAATTTTTTAATATATATATGACATTTGAATGTATTTTTACTTGCAGATGCAAATCTACTGCTATGATGCAGATCAGTTTACAGATTTTGAAGAGGCAGTTAAAGGAAATGGAAAATTAAGAGCTTTATCAATTTTGTTTGAGGTAAACAAAGTATATCTTTGTGTCATTTAACAAGCCTTAAAAAACACCAAATGTTCAAACTGAATTTAAGTGGTTCTGTTGTGTGACCACTGAGTTAAAAAAATTGCATGTCTCTTTCTAATTTATTCTTGCAGAAAAGCAAATGGTCAAAACATGTTTGCTTGGCTTTAAGTCATCTATAATTTTGGTGGTAAACTGTAACTTTCAAATTTTTTTCATGAAGCGTGCACTGTTAAAATACACAATTTCTTTTTAACAGGTTGGACTAGAAGATAATCCAGATTATAATGCAATCATTAATGGAGTAGATAGTGTTAGTCGTTTCGGTAAGTTTGCCTCCATGTTTTATTGATTACTGATTAGACTAAATTCCATTTCAGTGTGATTAAGAAACCTTTAAGAAATTGAGGAGCACAGTATTGTATTGCTCAGCCATGTCTATTTTGTTATAAATTACAAAAGTTATCTGAATAGACTGGAGAGCTCATGATCACCAACCACGTGAAATTTAACATGAGCAAGTGCCAGAGACAGGGTAGTCCTTATTATTTGTACAAACTGGGGAATGAGAGTCTGGAGAGCATCCCTTTGGAAAGAGAGCTGGGGGTTTGGTTTGATGACAAGTTAAATATGAGTCATCAGTGCCCTGGCAGCCAGGAGGGCCAACCATGTCCTAGGGAGCATCAGGCAAAGCATCACCTGCCAGTCGAGGGAGGGGATTGTCCCGCTCTGCTCTGCACTGGGGCAGCCTCACCCTGGGTCCTGCATGCAGTTCTGGGTGCCACAATGTAAGAAGCTATTAGAGAGCGTCCAGAGAAGGGCAACCAAGATTGAGAAAGGTCTTGAAGACAAGACACACAAGGGGTGTCTGAGGTGACTTATTTTGTTCAGCTTGGAGAAGGGGTGCCTCATCACAGTCTACAACTTCCTTAAGGGGGGCAGCAGAGGGGGATTTGCTGATCTCTCTGTGGTGACCAGTGATAGGACCTGAGGACATGGAATGAAGCTACATCAGGGGAAGTTCAGATTGGACATCAGAAAAGGTCCTTCACTGAGATGGTGATCTGTCACTGGAACAGGCTCCCCACAGAAGTAAGTGATCATGGCACCAAGCATCTGGATGATGCTTAGTCGTATAATTTAGTTTTAGATAGTCCTGTGAGAAGTAAGGAGTTGGACTTGATGATCCTCATGGGTCTCTCTTCCAAATTGAGATATGATTTTATATGATTTATTTCCCCCAAGACTGAGTATTTGTAACAACAGAACTAAGTGTAAATGAATAAATCGAACTATCATGAGAAATTTGCAACTGTTTAAATGCTAATACCAGGTAAATCTGGATTTATTATGTGAGTCTTCTTAATCATACATTTCAGCATTTTTATATCTGGTTGGAAGCCAGATAGTGCTGTTGCAGCTATCCAGGATGGGTCTTACAAGAGTGAGACTATATGAATATCAGCATTCAGTAGACTCAGAGGAGAGGAATCCTTTTTTTCAGTAGCTCCTGTGAAAATCTAAAATAATCCAATTATATTGTATTTGTAGTAGCATTATTAAAACCAATTGTTAACAATTTTGTCTTTAAGAAGTGCTCTGACATTGTTGCTTATTGGAACACATTGGAATTCAGTGTGGTACATGAAGAGATCTGGGCTCAGTTTCTAACTCGGTTTCACAGTGGCTTTGCAGAAGAATAAACATGAACGAGCATGGTCTTGAACAGGAATATTTTCTTACATCATGTCCATAACCTTAAGTAAACCGTCTCAGATTTCCTTTATGTAATGATGCTAGATTTTGTAAAGGTCCTTTAGATTGATAGGTTGAAAGTGTACAGAGCTGTTTTTAAAGCTTTCAAAAGTATGATGCTAAAATCAAGATTTTCTTTTCTCTGGAAAACAAACACTATTCAACAAATATGAAAGGGAGCAACTTTCATGAATTATAAAGACAGAGGAGGTGAAAATGTAAAGCAGTTAAGATTCATTACTTTTGTGTGCCATCTTCTATGAAACAAAAAGGAGAACGAGTAATACATCAAGGCAGATGCCATCCTACAGCCTTGGAAGGAGCTGTAAAACTATTGGTAGCAAGATTCAAGTCAGTCACTACATGGCACTTCAACAATGAATAGAATATCATTTTCTTGAAAAAATTGGAAATGAGCTCAGAAAATTCAGGTCATGAATAATCAAGTTGTTTCTTCTGAAGAAAGGTGAATAGCACACAATCTGTCTTTGTCTGTGATGTACATGAATTGTTCTTGTCAGTCATATCTATATTGTGCTTATTTGAATCCGAATTGCTGAGTTCTCAAGCTCTGCAGAGGAGCACTCCTGTTTCTTCTGGATGAACTCTGTTTTTCATTATTCTTTGTACATGTTTTATTTTAAAATCCAGGCTGTCAATAAAATTTTAAAATTTTATTTTAAAATCTAGACTGCCATTAAAGGACATTCTAAAATCCAAAGCTGTGAAATGTATGGCAGGATTCTTACTACGAATGAGAAGTTTCATGTCTCCATGTCAAGCATCTACATAAAATGGACTGGCATTCTTTTTTCCTGAGGCAGGGATATGTTAACTAGACATACCAGATAGCAATAATAGCTTCTGTCTGAAGGCTGATTAATGTTTCAACAGGAGAAACAGAAGGATGGGCTTTGCTTGGCACTGCCAAATGTTCCCTTTTCGTGACACATGGAAAAGAGAGGGGGAGGAGCCAGCTCCTAAACCTTAACTCAGTAGAGCAGTCACTCTACAGAAGAAAGGCACCAATCACTTGTAATAAACTGTTCATGTAAAGTCACCAAATTTTTAAAGAATTATGAAGACAAAACCAGTTCAAAAATCTGTACAGGGCTCAAGTAACAGACATCTAAAACCACAAGTTAATGCAGGGTCTGAAAATTCATTAGATATTTAGAAGTGAATATTTACCAAATAGGGAGAAGTTTAAAATCAGTAACTTTAAATTGAAATAAGGTATATAAGGATCTATGCTATTCCAAGCTGTGAAAAACAGCATTAATTTGGATGCACCAGACAATAAGGCAGATAATTGTCACACAGACTAAATAAGTCTGCCTTGTTGAAGTTGGCACCATTTATGCCAATTTCTGTTGCTGGACCCTACTGCCATACCAGTAGAAACTTAGCCTTCTGAGGATGGACTTTCAGCAATTCCTCATGCTTACTAACAGCTGACAATGTACCAGGTAAACTGCTGACCTGAAAGATGTGATATTGTTTTCACAGGACAATAAACAGGGTGGTCACACTCTCCCAGAGGACATCTTTGCATTCTTTGCTGCTTTGTGTTACAGTTTTTTGCTATATTATCGCCATTTTAAAAAAACCTGATCCACAGAAATTCTGCTTACACTTTCACGAGTTATATTAACTCTCGAGTCTAACATGGTGACAGCTCCCCAGTCAGTGATTTTCTGCAGCAGTTTGGATCCTGCAAGGAACTCAACAACTTCATTAGTTTCAGGGAGAATTTGAAGCCATGTAATGAAACCTAGAACAAAGATTTAACTTTTTTTTTTTCTTTGAAGTTCAAGAGTTGGACAAAGATTTGGCATCTTGGGCGTTTATGAGTAAGCTTACAGATGAACAAATTCTTGTGAACCAATGTACTGATTACTCTATTTATTACTGGAGTAACTCAGTACACCTTCCCAAATAAACAGAGTTGGTTTTGAAGTATGCTTATTGAAACTAAATAAAAAAGGCCCTGCAATTTATTTGTATGTTAGTCTCTCTGGAGATTAGATTTTGAATAACCTCAAAATTAGCACGTTCTTATAATGGTAACTCTTTTAGACAGTGAGATTTCTATTTATTCATTGCTTCTGTAGTATTTTAACCATCTGACTATTTTTTTTTTTCAGGAAAACAGGCTGCCTTAGAACCATTTATTTTGCTGAATCTTTTGCCGAATGCAACAGACAAATATTACACTTATAATGGATCTTTATCAGCTCCTCCATGCTCTGAAACAGTTGAATGGATTGTGTTTAAAGATACCATAAGTATTTCTGAAAACCAGGTAATTTGTGTAATGTTGTAAAACCAAAATATTATACATAATACCAAAGAAAAGTATTTGCCATGTATGGCATTCATTGCCAGCCCAACAACATAGCTTTTCTTCTATCTAGTTAGAAGTTTTTCATGCAGCCTTTAAATTAGAAAGCATATATATTACTGGAGTGTGTTATCTTTTCCTTTTTTTTTTTTTAGTTTAGGACTAGAATCTGAGTCATTTCTGGTCTTAAAAGGGGTAAGAACATACTCCCGGCTGTCTGGACTTTGAACTCAGATAAAGAGGAGTACAAAACACTCTTCACAGCCAAATGGTGGTGCTTGGCAGAGCACAGCTCCAACAGCAGAGTAATTGAGAAATACTGGTGGAGTAAACCATTAAATTTATTGATGGTACAGAAGAACAAAAGTTCAGTGTCATGCTGGATAGCTCAACTGTGAGACTTTAACCAGCAGCTTCTCCCCAGAGTTTTTGCCTGCTGGCAGAATCTGCTCAATTTATTTTGACTTTTGACTTCTTTTTTTCCTCACCTCTTCTAGTTAGCTGTATTCTGTGAAGTCCTTACAATGCAGCAGTCTGGCTATGTTATGCTGATGGACTACCTACAAAACAACTTTAGAGAACAGCAATATAAGTTCTTTGGGCAAGTGTTTTCCTCTTACACTGGACAAGAAGAAATTCATGAAGCAGGTACTTACTGAACAATCATTCCTCTCTTCACAAGTTGAAAGACAATTTTCGGTAAAAGATTCATCCAAGTATGAAGATACTCATTTTAAACCGTGCAGAACACAGCACACTGTATTATTACTCATAAATTTATCACTTCAGAGAAAAAAACTAGCAATCAAAAAACATGTCAGATTAAATGGAGTGGAAAATTAAATGCTTGTGTTGACCAAGCATTCAGTGAAGATCACGTCAGTTCAAGCTTTCTTGCACTGCCCTTTTAATGTGTTTCAGACCTAAACAATGCTGCCTTTTCAGGGACTGCAGGAGAATTTTATTTTACAAACCCATTTGGTTCCTTGTCATATAGTGTGAATGCTTTTACAACAGAGACTGGAGTGAGGTCACCTAACTAATTTCATGTAGTCTGCTTAGAAATTGATAGATAAAGAGAATCCTAGAAGCCAGATTCTAAAACTTCAGGGAAGTTTATGAAGGTTATATGACCAAAATAGTACATTATGTAATGGGAAACAAGATCTAGCACTAAATATGGAAGTCAATGATTTCTATACTTAAAAGCACAGAAGAATGTAGAGTAAACCTTTAAACTGAGGGCATTATGTTGCCACTTGGGTGGGGATACCTGTAGATTCTTAAACTCAATTGTGCTGAACTGTGCTTAATTAGACATAAACAGCTGACTGAAGCACATGGTGTAGGTGTTCTACAGATTTAAAAGAAGTGTGGTTTCATAAATATACTTATTTATATTTATGTACATACATATATATATGCACAAAAATGCAGCTATAGATTTTGTTTAATGTAGAACATTAGAGAAACATTTATATTTTCACCTCCATTTTAAGAGAAGGTAAATAAGAACCCCTAGGAATCATTAAACTCAAATGTCCAGATGTAAAAGCTGTAACATGAATGCCAAGGTCTCCAAGAGTGAAAAGGCTTATGCATTTCGTGTTTAATAATGCATAGTAGTCAACAGAAGAAAAATAGTCTTTTTAATCCCTTTAGAGGATGCAAGAAAAATTACAAGAGTGGGTCTTAGTAAGGTAGACAATTGAAAAATTATTTTGCATTGTGAAACCTAGAATCCTTATTTTCTCCTGCTGCATTCAGTGTACGTTCTCATTAGGCAGTAGGATTAAATGTTTGATTTACTGCTGTTGTTAATACATGACATTTCTTAAGTAGAACTAAGTTTCATTGGAAGAGCTAAAAGAATATTTCTATTCCATTTTAAACTAATTTCAGCCAAATATTGTCAGAATTTTTTTCACAGTGACATCCTCAATGTTTCTGGTGTACTAGCACTGTCTTACTGTGTACATGGAGATGCTTTGTTCCCCAAGCCTGACTAGTAATACATGTAGTTTCCCTATATGATATATAAGTATGTATGTATTTAAGAAGATTAGAAGAGCTAATCCTTACAACCATATTTTAGGATTCAACTAAAAAAGTGTTTTGAAATTGTAATGTTTTACCTCCACCAACCTCAGCTGTCATGCAAATCTATTTATAATAGAAATCATTATTTATTCCTGTAAACCTGAGAACCATCATGGTGGCTGCTGAGCCCATTACATGACTTCTCACCCGCCCCACCCTTCTGGTGAGGCCCCTGGTCTAAGGGCACAAACCTGACTCTTGTTAATCTTCCTGGAATTAGTACAGGTATAAAAAACAGTGGGTTGTTAAAATTTAAGACTGACAATACATAGTGATGAAAAATATTTTTCAACCCGTTTTCCCATGAGAAATACAGCTGTATGAAGTTCAGCAGTTTTCTTAGTTAAATTCTCTTGTGAGACAAGGGGTCATGCCTTTACCCTTTCACATTCCTCAGTCGACATGAATAACCATTCTCAGATTCTATCCAAATATTTGTGTGGGACACTTTGCACTGTCACAGTGTGTGGTGTGCAGGTGCCCAGGTGCTGGCAGTGGTGGGTACGTGGGTGGCCTCTGTGAAGAGAGCCTGGGGCTGCCCTGAGCCAGACACAGACAGTTCCAGCTGGCTCCAACCCACCCACCTCAGGGCACAGCTGAGCTCCTTGGCCATGGTGGTAGCTCTGGGAAAACAAAGCTGCACAGCAGTGAGGAGTGAGGAAAAAAGTGTGAGAAGCAGCCCTATGACACCTAAGTGAGAGAAGGAGGATGTGCTCCAGGAGCAGAGACTCCCTTGCAGCCTATGGTGAAGATAAGCTGTCCTGTGGCACACTGTGGAGACTCCATGCGGGAGCAGGCTCCTGGCTGGAGCTATGGCTTGTGGAGAGGAGCCCATGCAAGAGCAGAGTATCTAGCAGGTCTGTGACCTCGTGGGGGACCCAAAGTATAACCAGAGTATAACCAGTATAGCAAAGTATAACAGTCTGTTCCTGAAAGACTAAGCAAACTGGAAGAATTTATGAAGGACTGTATCCTGTGGGTGGGACCCAATGCTGGTGCAGGGGAACAGCATGAGGAGGAAGGAGCAGCAGAGGGCAAAGCATTATAACTGACCACAATCCCCATTCCATATCCCCCTGTGCCACTGGGAGTGGGGAAGTGGAAGAGTCAGGATTGAAGTTGAGCTTGGGACGAAGGAAAGGGTGGGGAGATGTTTGTGGGTTTGGTTTTGTTTCTCACTATTCTACTCTATTTATTTTTTGATAAATTAAATTTCCGTAAGTCGAGTCTGTTTTTCCCATGATGGTTACTGGTGAGCGATCTCCCTGTCTTTATCTTGACCCATGAGCTTTTTCCTCTTACTTTTTATCTCTCCCCTGCTGAAGAGGAGTTGGAGAGCAGCTGGGTGGGTACCTGGTGACCAGCCAACATCAGCCCAGTACACATCTACTGTCCTGCTCCACCTCCATCACAGAGAGAGAGTAGACTGGGAATACTGATGAACTACTTTTTGCCACATACTGTGTCAGGGATCTGCAAAGCCCCTGAATATCTTAATGTAAATGAAATGATTTCATGACCTCAACAATTGAAAAGCTGCATTTAAAAGATAAAAAATCTCAAACCTAGATTCAGCTAAAAGTAGAAGAAAGCAACAAATGTGGGTGGAAAACAGCCAAATGTGGGCAGCTTATAAAGGTCTTCTGGTCAAAAATACAGTCCAGGCAGTTTTTGACAATGATTGGGCTAATGTACCCTGTCGTTCCCCGTGATGCAAATGAGTTTAGGCGAAAATTTTTTAAGTTACATGAGTAGCATTTTATTCCACGGAAGAATAAGCACAGATAGGTGCATTACCATGGTGTGCAATGCTGGTTTTGCATATGATATGCAAAACCAGCATCTAAGTACTCATCTGGGGAAAGCAGGGACTTGAATTCAAGCCCAGCAGGGGTTTGAATAGGCCTCTGACTTCCTGTGAATTTTTTGCTCTTTTGTATTTTGCTGCTTGAGACTTGTAATCCAGTTTAATATCTGTGACTTCAGATTAGTGACAGACTTGAGAACTCCCTTTCTTGCTCAGATTCTCCAAAAGTCGGTATCAGAGCAGAAGTATTTAATTAGGTAAGTTGTTATGTTCCTTTCTCTTCCTAGTCTCTGGAGAGGGAAAATGGGAAAAAGCAGGAGAAAAGTATCTCTGTGTTGCTAAGACTGGCAGGAAAGAAAAGGAAACAGAACAGGTAGAATGACTTACAAAGTGACATCAGGAAAAGGGCAAAAGAACACCTTGGGAAGGAATGGAGGTGAAATAATAGGTAGATGATTGTCATGTAGGAATATTGTTGGTCACTGCTGAGATGAACATCAAAAGAAGGAGAACAAAACGGAAGACAACTTTTTTTCTTGGGGAAAAATAGAAGAACCATCTGGAAAAGAAAAAAATCCCAAAGAACTAACATTGGAGACACAAATCTTGTATCTTTAGAAGTTCTATAATACTGCTCTGTTACTCTGAATACAGTCAAGAGATTTCAGAACCAAATTCACTCACAGACAAGAAAGATGAAAGGAGGAAGAAGAAAGAGAAAAAAAAGAGAAGTGTTTGGAACACAGAGAAGTTTGGTGTTTACATTATAAAAAAGCATTTTGAGAGTAATTTTAAACACCTTCAAAAATTAATAGCTGTGGAGTCTTTAGAATCATTGAAAAAAAAATTAAATCAGTTTAAGTCATCTGTCTTAATACTCAGAATTGGAAAGGGTGGTCTAGTGGTGTACTTTTGCCATCTGGTGGAAATGGTGTGAAATGAAAAACTTTAGTAATGGAATAGAATGTACACAACTTGAGATTTTTTTTTTTTTTAATTTGCTCATTCAGTGTCATGAAAAAAATGGCATATCAGTTATATAGCATAGTAGATTAAAAACCTGGCAAGCTACAGAATTCAGCTAATTTACACAGACTAATACTGCCTCTATCATTAGCTTACACTCGCAAACAAAAAAATTAAAAAAGCCTTGATGCTTATTTTCCATTGACTAGGTCAGACCAAAGCTGCTCAAAACTGCCGACCTGCGTACAGAACGGAAGTAGTTTTTACAAATATTTTTGAGAAGTTTGAGTGCCCTCTTGTGTTCAATTGGCAAAATGCAAAGCTAATGGACTTTTCTTTCAAAATGCAGTATTTTCCACCAAAGCATTGTGGCATCATGGTGTTTGCTTCCTCTAAGAGGACTCCAAAGGATCTGCACTTGTTTTCTTAGTTAGCTAGATAGTTTTTTACTTGGTTTTGCTTGATATTCACATTTTGGTTTAAACAGATTATGAGATATAAAAAATGTTTCCTCATTTATTCCAAATTGGGAATGACTATGTAATTACTTATGCAAAGTCAAGCTAAAATTTTTTTAATGAAAATATATCCATCTAATAATTTCAATATGTAAGATTTAATTGTTGAATGATTCAGAGTAAACTTTGTGTGCTCCAGTCAGTGATTTTGCCAAATCTAATAGATTAAATAAAGTAGTAGAAATGAAGTAATAAATGAAGCATCAGACTGAAAAATATACCTCTCCAGTACCTATGGAAGTGCACATAAATGTAATTTCAGTACCTGAGACAAGCAATTCCCAAAAGCTAGTGCAGGGCCAGATAGCCACTCTGAGCATTTCAAACCAAAGTTCCAAACCCACGTAATTTCAAAAAGATAAGAAAAGGGGTTTCTAACTGGAAGTATCAGGGACCCCTGCCTTCATTCTGAGACATCAGAACAGATCTAGTTGCTGTGCTCTCGAGTTGGGAACCAAAGTTGGTGAACACTTTTGTGTTCTCCATTCTTCACTTCTGTGTCTGAAGACACAGTTCCCCCACAAGCAGAAGGGACAATGAGAGCAAGCAAGGAGAATGAAGTCTCAATCCAAATCCAAACCATCCATTTATGATGCACCTCTGTATGATACTGCTTTATTTTTGTTTGTATATCCTAACTCCCTAGACATTTTTTCAGTGAACTTCAACTAAATAATTTACATTTTATGCTAATGTAGTTTTTTCATCTGGGTTAATCTACATTTGACCTTTTATATTGTTTTTAAGCCACACACAATTGTACTTGTACAATTTAAAGAACAAATGTCAGAGTCTCAGCAAATTTCTTGTGCACTGATAATCAGTACGTCTGGGTATACATATGTATATGAAAATATCAAAATGTTCACCTTATTTGAATAAGATGCAGAGTATTGGAGGATAAAACCTGGGAGACTGGCAAGAGTCGCTGCCTGACCAGGCTCCCCTCTGGTGTGCTGGTTCCAGGCACACAAAGAAGGTGTGTGTGT